TTTAAGGCACCAGTTCCCAAGCTCATCTATTTGTGATGAGTTTAAAACGGCGTAAATATGATTGGATGAACTTCAATACTCCGCATGAAAAAAGATGGCAACTGGTGCATATACCCAGAGTTCTTAGCGCACGAAAACTTTAACAACGCTTATAATTATAGTTACGTACTCTCTACAACCTTCAAACCTTGTATACACAATGTTGTTAACAAGGGAACAATATTGCAAAAATATGGCTTTCCTTGTACTTTATGGGATGCGTAGGGTTCGCATGGTATTGTGGTAAAATGTACAGCCGCCATGTTTTTCCTACGGAGGCCTGAGGCCTAGCTTTAGTACGCGGGCCGAGAGGGAGCCTAAATATTACGGTGTCACGGGATTAAGCGTTAACAAGGACGTTTGAGTTCTTTCTCTTCAATCTCTGAATAGGCCCTTTGCAGCTGGGGTCAAGTGACGAAACCTTTGCTAAGATTGTTTTGGTCTATGGACTATAACTTAAAGAATGCCAGAAATGGAAAGAGCATATCGAAAATAGCAAAATTGCCAAGTTTGAGGCCCCTGAAATTAACGAGTAAGTTCATAAGACAGTTGGAATTTTAGGAAAATTTAGAGGATATCTATGGAACATACTGCGGGAGAGCAAGGTCTTGCTCTCCAACAACTTTTCCCATACAGATCTTCGCACAATTTCTTCTTAATTTTTCAAATTCAAAGCATCATTAAATCGCATTCTTTACTGCCAGGGGCCTAAAAATTGGCCATTTTGATATTTTCAACATGCTTTTTCCAATTCTGGCATTCTTTAAGTGACAGGCCATAATTTTATGAAAAGTAGGTCACGTGATGGCCCGGCTGCAAAGGGCAGCGTACGTCTTGTAATGTGCTCGCAGTTACTCACCGACGCATTTCTTGGTTGTCTCATTATACCTGTACCCCCGGTTACACACGCATCTGTAAGACCCTGCCAAGTTCTCGCACATACCAAATCCACAGATATTGTTATCTGTCATACATTCATCTTTATCTGTGAAGAAATAGACTGTGTAAGGCTTGTAGTCTTTTGGCGCAAACACGACAGCACAAACAAAAACCGAGAAATACAAGGGAAAGCAAAGAGAACAACACATTGTGATCCTTGTGCGTGCACTCTTAGAGTTTGTATATATCGGTTATAGACCAAGAGTGAGGTCAAAATGGCTGGATATTGACTGTTATTTTTTGTGCGTGTTTATGGACCGAGACGGAGTCGAGGCCAGTAAACACGCAAAAAACAAAAAACAAAAAAGCAAATCAAAACAAAAAAACAGAACGAGGTCAATATCCAGCCATCTTGACCGAGCAAGCTTGGTCAATAAAGGATTTATTATAAGGAAAAAGAACACTCTTTTCTTACGGGACACAGCGGGTTATCCCGAGCGGGCAAGATAGCGCCATCACAGCCGAGCGCAGGATTCAGTTCATCTTGCCCGCTGACGGAGCTAACCATATAAGAAGGACTCTTAATGTAATCTCATATCCAGATATCACTCTGTTTGACGCTGGCCGTGGGCCGATCTGGGTTCAAGCTCAAAATCCTACGCTTGCAATAATTGCATCACCAGAGAAAACGCTCGCCTTTAACTTTGCTTGCTTTGTGGTGGCTTATGTTGTTCTTGAAGTGACGGTTTCACGTTGTTGATTAGCGGAAGATGCTTCAAAGCGAATAACGCTGGTGCAGTTGAAAATGTGTTTGGGTCATGCATGTGATAGACACGTGACATACCTACACACGTGATTCCATTTTTCATGTAGCCATCAGGACAGCCACACTGGAAACTTCCAACAGTGTTTATACAGCTATGCTGGCAGTTATGTCGACCAGTTGTACATTCGTCATCATCTAAACAAAGACATATTAATTAAAAGATAATCTTACTGTTCTACGTATGCTTGCTTATTAAACCTAATCGACGACTTGCTCGTATTTGTCACAAACCGTTGGCTAATCTTGGCGAAACAAACAAAAATTTGTGTAATATACTTTACACACTTAAAGAATTGACCATCGTATATGGCACAAAAGATTGAGAAAAGTTGCAGACTTTTCAAAAATCATGTTGCAAACTTGGCAAATTCTCGGTGACGTGAACTTGATCAAACGGGAGGCCGGGAAAATGTGGTTTCTTCTACGGAGCGGGAAAGTGTATTTTATGTCTCCGGCCATAAACTGTTAAAGGAACTATTTTGTGGATGCTGAATAACTCTAACTCATTGCGAGAATTAACGTTCTGCGACTCCTCTTGAACTAATTATAAAGCTCTTTTAAAACCCTTTTGTGTAAAGCACACACATGCAAGTATATGTCAACGCGTATACACTTAAATATATGTTAACGTCACTAAAAGCACACAAAAATTATTGTCTGTCCACACGGAAAACGATAAACGGATGCGTAAGAACTGAAATATCTATAACATTCCTGGGGAAGCATGGGCACGAGACTGACACTGAGCATGTGTGAATCACTTGACGCGACGTCGGCGATCACAAATGTTTCCGTTTATGTCGTCTACTCTGTTCAAAACTTTATCTCAATACTCTTCACAGACACTTCGAAACGTAAAGAAGGGCCTCTATTTTGATAGCTAACGCACACTGCTAGGCTACTCACTATCTACAACAGAACAGATAGCGAGTAGCGTAGCCAATCGGAAAACGGCATTCGTGATAGAACGCTGGTAGATTTATACTAAATGAGAAAAGATCTAGGGAGATAGTGATCTGTTTACGAATTTGTCCACTTTGGAGAGCGTTTACGAAAATGTAAGTTTGAGAATACGTTGTGTCGTTCACCTGCGGACAGAGACATAGACATTTATGTTACTAAAACTTCGTATTGAGAAAGAAGTATCATATAGGTAAGGACGGCACCTGAAATTGAGAGCTATCAACATTACTGACCAATGCATGTTTTTTTGTCTGCTCTCAGCACATAACCAACAGGACAGCTACACCTGTAAGAACCATCTGTGTTTGCACAAGTAAACTGACAAATACTGGAATCTATTGCGCACTCATCGATATCTACAAATTAAAACATAACAAAATGTAGTGAAGGATACTAAACTACGTAGCTTTAGTGAGGTATTTGGTTGTAAACAAGTTACCCTCAAGGCTGTTAAAGGCAAAAGGAAAATACAAAAGAATTCTGTCGAAGGATGATCAAGGAGCAGGACAAAAACACAGATGGCCAACCAAATCACAAAAACACAGCTTTTATGTTTTAGGTTCTTCTACTTTGCTCATTCAGTGATACAGCGTTGAGTGAATCGATTTTGAAACTATAAGGGAGCGAAATTAATGAACACACAATCTCATAATTCACTGTAAACTTCTGATGAAGAGCGTTAAAAACTGCAAGTAAAGAAACTGTGTAAAGAAACTGTTGGAATGCGTTGGAGAGGAAGTGAAACAATTAGTCACTTAACTCTGAAAAAGTGCTTACGCTCGAAAAATCAGCTTCACTACCTCGCTATTCCAAAGGCTTACATCAAGCACTCACGTGCCCAGAGTAAGCCTGATTATAAAGATGGATTTGAAGAAACAAGCGAACATCTTACCTAAGCAGCGCTTTGCGTCCATAGTGAGCTTATAGCCCGCGTTACACATGCAGCGGTATCCCCCACGAATATTGATACACTTGCCATTTCGACACAAGCCAGGAATCATCTCACAGATCTCTGGTGAATGACGACATTACAAATATCACGTTATGCGCCCTTCACTGTGTTAAATTTACACCCGTAGAGCTAAACCCCGCTAATTCGAGCTCGACTTTTTCGAATTTCCCGCTATTTTGAACTCAAAACCATTTCTCTTGGATTTGCCCTTTAGTCAATTACTATTGGCTATCTTGAACTGCCTCTGTTTCGAACTATTTTTAGTTTCCCGTGAGAGTTCGACATAACCGGGTTGAACCGTATCTCCCATGATTTAAGAAATGTGAACGATAGGATATACTTCTAGCGGAAGACACACCCGAGAAAATGTCCGATTACAGTCTTCCAAACAGAAAAGGGTGAAGATCTTAAAATTTTCACTCTGCTTCACGGATAAAGATTATTTTCAATTTAACAGTCGAAATTTTAACAGAAATTACAACAAAATGATTACGAGAAGTATTATTTTTTTTACAGGAATGGAAAACGGTGGTACAAATACTTCGTGTCAACTTGCGAGGAAAACAAACTGAATGCGGTAAGTCAATATCTTAGAAGAACCTTTTGTAGTTTTCCATCGTATCTTTACTTTTTATTTTAGGGTTAGGGTATTGTGGTGACCTAAATCTTCTGATTCAGGGTCCAGTGGTGTCACTCATTTCGAGGTGTAGAAGGCGACCCCTCTTCTAGGAAACAAAAGGTAAAAAACCAGCAAATTCTTGGAATTCAAAGTAGAACAACACTTACTAGTCATATTTTCCTTAACCTGCGCGATTTTCTGACACAAGTTAACATACTCCACTGTGGAAAAAAGAAAAATATTTCCAGTTTGCAAATCTAAAGACAAAATTAACAAAGTGAAATATGACAAAAATGAGAGCGGAGCTGGGGCGATAGTTACCAGTTCCTCGCCTCGGACACAGTTGGCAGTCTGTGCCCCATGCCTTCCCGGCTGTACAACAGCATTCCTTTTTGCGAACTTGCATCATCTCCTTTGTGACAGCTTCACACATGTTGTTCGTGACGACAGCGAAGCAAAGCCCCTTCCTCGTATCTGTAAAATAAAGTTTAGCTTTAAGTCTACCTAAGGCATAACAAGGGGAGAGGGGGCGGGGCGGAGGCAAGGAAGAGCAACGGAGGGTGGAGTAAGTTGCCACAAAATCATGTGGCAAACAGAACACAAACATAAAACCAACCAATAAGAAGAGAGTATAATTTTACGAAACTGTCACGAAGACTAAAACCGCGTGAAAAGTTAACGTCACACAGATTACGTGTGCCTTAAATTCTATCTAATTGGCGGAAATAAGAAAAACGAAACAGCCATAGCCGCTCTTTTAATACTGTTTTTTTAAAAGTCGAAAGAAAATCACAGAACGTTTCTATTTACCTTCACATTCCTTTCCATCCGCACTTCGCACGTATCCCGAGTCACAATCACAGATATAAGTTCCCGCGAGGTTTCTACATACTCCATTTTTACAGAGATCTGATCGCTCTCTACATTCGTCGATATCTAACAAAGAGGAAGCAACCATTACTTCATAAAAGAAAGAGCGAACTTAAAAGGTTCGAGATCCACTGAAGAAAAGCTAAGCCCGAAACGTTTAGTAACCCAAGTACTATTTGACGCTTTCAAGAGCTTTTTCAGCCTCAAATTGTTGTTTATTGTCATAGTGTAACGCATCTCATAAGTTTTTTGCTCATTTCTATCGATACTTACTATTTAGCATTTTAACCCGAGTTATGCTAAAATGACAAAATTTAATGATCCTTCCTGGTTCTTTTGGCCTCAGTGTTCGAATCCTTAATGCGAAGTGAGTTTAGTTCTCCGCATAATTCATCAAGTTTAAATTAATAAAGAAATCATGACCGTGACGGTGTTTGGGTATCTGAACTTAATTAGCACAGATTTTTACGATTTTATTTTTCCGTTTTCTCCTTAGTTTTAGTTTCGATTGATAAGATGTATCAAACACTCAAGACAGTGTTTGACCACATTTCCAAACACCTCGAAGTTCGTCAAAAATACTCTGCTGCACGTCGTGTATTCAACTCTCTTCTCGGTGTCTTAAAATGTGGTGAAACACGATCTTTCGTGTTTGATATATTACTTAATGCGATTGGGAAGCCTAAAGGAAACTTTTGCTTTGATTTAGTCGCTATTCAGGCTTCTAGGTTCAATTTTGGAATATTTGGTCAAACTTGACGCTTATAAGTAAATCACTTCTTGTTCAAAGTCCAAACCAAGTTATGATGCCATGATGTGGTAAAACAGTTGCGAAGTCACTCATGGTAATGATATTAATCAGGAGGCCACTAATGAGCTGCGATCTTAATTTATAAATCAACTAAACGCACCTCGACAATTTTGCCCATCTCCTCTAAATCCAGGGGGACACCGACACCTATATCCGCCGATAAAGTTCTTACAAACGAAAGGACACAACCTGCTGTTTTCTCGACACTCGTTGATATCTATACAGGAATTGAAAGAACACAACAAACATTGGAATAATACCATAGAGTCAAGGATACCACTACACAAGAACGGAAATAAAAAACCCCGACATCTCCTCCAAAATTACTATCAAGACATCTTAACAAGTGTGATAAAATCCCTTATTCTCCTGACCTTCTTTGTAGTATTTTATTTGGAAAAGTAAAGAGACCTTAGAAGTAGATCAGTGTTGGGATGTTGTAGCATGCTCACCTCTGCAGTGTTTTTTGTCCGCGGCCATGTCAAATCCTCGCGGACAAATACAACGATAGCTTCCTGGCTGATTCACACAGCGGTACGCGCAAAGATCGTTGTTTTCTGCGCATTCATTGACATCTTTGGAAATAAAGGTCGAAATAAGTAGGTTTTGTGACAAGAAGAGCCATAAACAAGAAGGCTGTGTTCACACTTGGTACTCGAGCACGGTGCCTGACTATGATTGTCGCTGTGAACACAATTTTTTTACCAAGTTGTACTCACACCCGGATTCTCACCATGGTACAACGTCTCGACCTTGTACTCGGGCAGTAGATGGCCCTTGGGTACTTGGAGTACACAGTGTCTGAACGCAACCCTTTTTTGTGCTGGCGCCCAGGCACCAGTGCACGGACACCAAGTGTGAACGCTGGTGCTCATAGATTCTACTCTAGAAAGACACAAGTACAACAATGGACGGTTTGTAAGGCGGCCATTATGACTTCTACAAGAAAAAGGTTCATAAAATAGACCGCTCGGAATCAAAAGAGGAGAAATAATATCGTTTTGCAAACCCGGCCAATATTCTACAGAGACAAGTTATTCTCTTCAGTTCTTATTAGATTGATTCGTAACTTCATCCAAGCTAACGTAACGTGATGTTAACGAGCGGCGAATACAATGGTCAAGTCATCTGTCCCCGTCACGTCGCAAGCCAATCTCGGAATCTTTCCTCAAAACTGTTTGTTGTTGTTGTTGTTGTTGTTTTTTCTTCAACTGTGTGCTCAAAATTGGATTCTCGGCACAAAATTCCTTTCACTGGCTTGATCTGGCTTGATTCCCTATTCCTCTCGCCATCCGATGGAAAGTATTCATTACAAACACAACACATAATAAACACAACACATCACAGTTATTACTAGGTATGTCCTCACCACAAAAAATGAAGAAAACCTCAGCTGGAGGTAGCTACAAGATGATAATTAACATAAATTACTAGGATTGAGTACTTACCGACACATCGAGGTGAATAGCGGCCCGGGGCATAGCCTTTTGGACACGTGCATTGATAGGAACCTTCAGTGTTGGAACAGACTCCATTACCGC